GTGTGTGTGGGCGACTTTTGTGACCCGGGTCCCTCGCTTCTCTCCACGCAAATGCCGCTGTTGGGGTCGGTGGGGAACGCGCGGAGGACGTCGAGCCGTGCGCAGTGTGAACTGAGCGGCGGCGCTGTGGAGGCGACGCCGGGCACCGCGTGGTGGCCGGCTGCTGCCGCCGCCGCGGAGGGCGCCGTGCAGGTCTGTAAGACGGCCAGCGGCTCCGACGCCACGAGTGGCAGCCTCCCCACGAGCAGCAGTCTGCTGGACCTGCTGGCGACGGTGCGGCGGGCGCTGTCTGCCGCCGACTCTCTGGCGGCGCTCTCCCGCGTCTCCTCCCGCGGCAGTGAGGAGTTTCGGTGGGATGCCACGTTGCCCACGTCCAACAGCGGGGGCGAGTGCGTGAGCGCGAGTGCGGCGTACCTGCAGACCATTCTTGCGGCCGTAGCGACGCTGGCAGAGTCGCAGCACATTGACTTGGAGAATGCCGTGCGCTGCCGCATCCGCTCCCTCGCGTTGCAGGAGCATTCCTTGCTGGGCTTCCCTGCCGCTGCCCACGGCTGCGCCCCGGCGGACGGCGTCGACGCGGCTGCGGGCCACGACATGGGGCACGAGAAGCACGCGCGTCCGGGAGTCGTGGAGGAGGGGCAGCAGCCCGCGCTGGACGCTCAGGAAACTGACCGAGAGCCCTTCCGCGTGCTCTCTGCGGAGGCGTTGGCGGCAGACATGGCGCCGCGGAGTCGCGTGGCGGATGGTGGCGCCGAGAGTCATTCCTGCAGCGACATGGACCTGTTCTCGGCGGCGGCGGCCATGGCGGCCGTGCTTGGGGTGGACGTGGCGGGTGGACCTGAGGACGTGCAGTGCGCTGCGCCCGTGGAGGCGGCGGCATCCAACGCGCCCGCGCCACCACCGCCGTGTGTGGCCGCAGTGGCGCACGGGCAGGCGCCGCGGCGCGCCCCTGCCGAGGGCCAGGCGCACCACCGGCCAGCGGAGCAGCACCCACGGCCGATGCCAGCCACGGCAACGGCGACGGCGGGGGACGTGGACGCTGGCGCACCGCCAATTCAGTGCACTGCGGCGGCGTGTGCGTCGCAGCCCTCGCCGCCGGAGGCGCGTGACGGCAACGTGGCGGAGGCGGAGCGAGTCCCAACACGTCGGTCCGAGTTCAGTCCGCCAACAAGGCCCCCGCAGGCAGCGACAAGCCGGTGTGCGTCGCATGCCGTGGGTATATCTTCTAACCAGCTCGCCGCAGTCGTTGCTGGAGAAGGGGGGGACGAGTGCGTTGCCACCTTCTCTGTCGCAGATGGGAGGAGCTCGGGCTCGGCGGGGGCGGCGGGCGCTCCATTGGCGCGAGAATTAGCCACAGCAGCGGGAGCCGACGGAGGCGGCGTCGCGCCGATCCCAACAGCGGCCGACAGGCTCGCAGCTTCAGCTGCCCTGCTTGGTCTGGCGGCACACAACACGGCGGCGCGGCGGCAAGTGGCGGACTCCGCGGGCGGCCCCCTCGTTCCGCTGCCGTCACCGCAGCCACCGAGGCCCCACTCCGCGCCGCCGCTTCTGCGCGGGGCGCTGCACCCCATTTTGTTCCCCACCGCCGGCCGGACCGCGTCGCCGCAGCTGCGGCTGGAAAACGACATGGGCGCCTCCTCGCTGCCGGAGAACGTCGCGGCGGCGCCCGGCGCGTGTGGCCTCCGTCCGAGTGCAGAGTTATCAGCAGGGGCGCCGCGCGGGTCCCGGCCCTGCCTCCCCCGCCGCGAGGCGACGTCGTCGTCGTGGACGCCCCCCGTGAGCGTCAGCGGCGACGCCGCCGAGGAGCAGCGCGCCCGGCGGCAGGAGGAGGACGCGGCGGCCTGCTCGCAGACAGACAACAGAGCCGCAGTGGGGCTTCCCGTGGGTGGCGGTGGCCTGCTGCCGCTGACCTCGTCAACCCCCCCGCTGGCGCCGGAGGGAACCCTCCGGCAGGAGCAGCAGCAACAGTGCGAGGTTTCTGCGATGTCTGCGGTGACCGTCAGCGTGTCGCCGTTTTTGCCCTGCGACGAATTCACCCCGTCCTCCCGCTGGAGCGACGAGGTCTCCGCCGCCCCAATGACGACGCCGACGCCGACGCCGACGCCGACGCCGCCGGCGGCCAATGCCACCCTGTCCGTGCTGCGTGCGACCGTGCCGTCGACGCTGCCGGCGGCGGCGGAGCAGATGGACGAGGGCGCGAAGCCGGAGGTGGCGGTGCCGCGAGGCACCGCAGCAGCGGCACCGCCCGTGGAAGACGACTGCCCGCGCGCCACCTCACAGGAGGCGGACACGGTGGGCAGTTGGACGGCAATGACGCCCACGCCGTCCGTGCCGCCGCAGGGCGGTTCTCGGGCGACAACGAACATTGCCACCGTCGCGAGCGAATCAGGCCGGAGCTCAACCAGCGTTGCCGCCACGCCTGATGAAAACGCAGGCAACACGCAGTCACTGCCCCCGCCGGAGGCACGCGGCAGCGCACCGCCTCACCAAGCCCTGTTGCGGGGGGACGGTGAGCGGCGTGCAAGCCCCGGTGGGAGGAGGTTTCCGTATGGTCTGCTGCTGCTGCAGCAGTTGCTCCAGGAGCAATGAGAAGCATTGGAGAGGGCGAAGAGGTTACGCAGCTAAAACTGCACAAAGCAAAAAGGAAAAAAAAATGAACAAAGAGGGCGTGGAGCGGAGGGGCGGGCATATGCATCTGTACCTGTATCTTTTTTTCCCCCTCCCCCTCCCCCCACTTTTCATCTCTCTGTGTTTCTATGCTTCTGTGGGCGTGGGTGCAACGGAAAGCAACGCCTCTACGAGTTGAATTGCAACACTGCGGCGGTAGTGGGGGTGGGTGGGGCTGCAAATAATAATAGTAATATAGAGAGCGGGCGAAGCCGCGAAGCATGTGCGCCGTACGAGAGCTACAGCAACAAATCAAACGCCCTGTGCGGGGCCTGTTGTCCCCGCTGATGATTTTTTTCCCTCCGGGACTTCTTCCTTTACCACGCATCTGCGTCCTTTAGGTGGCCGATGGGTGTGTCGAAGCCACACTTCCCTCCGCGTCAGGCTCCGACGACTCAGATGCTCTTTTTGTTTTGGGGCTTCCCCTTGCATTTTCCTTTCGCCTCTTCGTGGGCTCTCGAGTGAGTTGCTGCCGAGCGTTTTGTTGAGACGTTTCACTCCCTCTCTATCTCTCTCTTTTTTTTTTCCTCCATGCCTCTGTGTCTGGCTTTTGCAGGGGGGAGAAGTGCGTGCGTGTGTGTTTTTTTTGTTTGGCCCTCTTGTGCTTCTTCTCTTTGCACGAGCCGTGGCGAGGCGACGCCCGTCTGCTCTCTCCTCCTCCTCCTCCTCCTCCTCCGGCGGCTGCGGGCAGAAGCATCCCCTGCATTTCTCTCAACAATCCCCCTTTTTTCTTCACTGACTTTTTCTTCTCGCGTGTGTGTGTGTGTGGCGTGGTGCGTAGGGGCGAGGAAAGGCACCGCGACTCCGGCAGCCGCCATGCCATTCCGGGACGCCGCCGCCGCACTGCACCTGCCGGTGGAGCGCACGGAGGTCCTCTACGCCGTTGCCACCGGCGATGTGCGGCTGTGGGAGCGGCGAATTATCCGGTGCGCACGCGATCGCGTAGCCGCGGCGGCGTCCGCCACCGCCTCGAGTGACACCGTCGACAGTCGCGGCGCCTGCACGAGCAGGGACGTGGAAACCCCCTCCGCCGCAGACCACAGCCAACCACAGCAGCAGCAGCAGCAGCAACCGCATCAAACGGGGACTGCTGAGCGTGGGGGGATGTTTAGTTTCTTCTGGTCCGGTTCGCCTGCCGCCGCACCCACGGCATCGGCATCGGCGACGGCGACGAGCGAAGCAGACGACAGGGCAGACTTTTCGCAGTACACGGGGCCAAATTTTTATACTCTCATGGAGCTGGTGCGGGGGGCCATGCGCGTGACGACGGAGGCGGGCCAAACCGACGCTTCCGTCCCCGCCCCCACCATCGCCCCAGGGCGGATGTGCTGGAGCGGGGACCTCTTGACCGCGCTGTCAAGTCTAGTCATGTTTCACGGCAGCGTGCCGGCCGTGGGTCGATTTCTGGGCGTGCTCCTCGGCAGCTACGTCATGGCCGTCGTGTCTCACCGCTGCCGTCGCGACGGCGCCGCCGCACGGGCGCCGCCCACCGAGCGGCCGAACGCCAACGAAGCGGGAGGCGACGCGGGAGAGGCAGACATGCGGATATTTCAGAGCGAGGCCTTTGCCGCTCTCATTGCGCGCCTGGCGCAGATATACTTCCCTCTCTGGCGCAGTCTCAGCGGGGCGGGGGAGGAGGCGGCGCGGCGTGCCGAAACGGGGGCGTCAGCCATGCCGCCGCAGCTCCTGCTGCACACCCGCTGTGTGCCGCTGCCGCCGTCCCACCGCCACCCCCTCACGATCTGGCGGGGCACGGGCGGCGGTGGCGATGGCGACAATTCACCGGCTGCCGAGCCGCGGGGGCTCCGGTCGCGGATCATTTCATCAATGTTTAACCGACGAAGCACCCACCGTGCTTGTGCGGGGCTGCGCTTATGCGGCGACGCAACGCGGGCTGGCAGGTTGGGCGCGGCCCGCACCACGGAGCCGCATGCAGCGGCAAAGAATAAAAGGAAGGAAGCGACGGCGGAGGACGACACGGACGTCGATGAAGAAGAGGGGGAGAACGCGGCGGAGGTCCCGGTAACACTGGAACACGTGCGGGAGATTGTTGTGTGCGTTGCTCTGGCGGAGCTTGGCAGACTCGTGCTCTTCTCGGACGTCGCCGAGGCGCCTGGGGGCGGCGACCCGCGGGACTCCCACAGTCTCCAGCGAGGGCAGGGGACGACGCCGGCAGAGCCAGCGGAGGATGCGTCAGACGCGTCGTGGGCGGCGTATTTGGCGTGCGTACGGCGCGGCGCGGGCGCCAGCACGGCCGAGCGGATGCGCGACGTTGCCGCCATCCTGCGGGCTGCGGGGGATGCCTGGCGGCGGCAGCTCTCGACGGGGGCGGCGGCATCCACGCCAGAAGAGCAGGCGCCAGGGCGCGGCACCCACCACCCCCGCGTCAACAGCAACCACTGCTGGGTGACGGTCGCGGTGTGTCGCGTGTTGAAGTGCGTCTCGCAGACGCCCTGGGGCGTTTGCCTCACCTCCGCCCTCGCACCCACGCGGCACGGAGGGCTTCAGCGGCCCCGGGCTGCGTATCAAGAAAAGGACTTTTACTACATGAACATCCTCCTGACGTGTCTATGCGTTGCGGGCGAGCAGCTTCCCCCGTCCCTCGCCCAGTTCGCTCTGCGGCTCATGGAGTTCAACCTCTCCGATGTGCTGCTGCTGGGCAGAAGCGTTGGCGCGGAGACCCCGCGGCAGCAGCAACCACTGCCGCCGCCGCAACAAACGACGGGCGGCCGCTGCACCACCGAGAGGGCACAAGCCGGCGGTCGCGGTGACGCAACGGACCCTGCTGTGGAGCGAGACGGGTTGGCTGCGGGCCGTGCGCGGAATGCGGAGGCGCGGCGGCGCCACTTTGCAGCGGCGGCACTTTGTACGACAACGTTGAAGTCCCTGCGTGACTCTTATGCACGCGGGAGTGTGGCTCCGAGGGACACGCATGTCCGATGGCTATCGGCGCTGCTGCGACAACAAGTGCTGCTTTGGGAGCGATCCTTGCGTCGTGCGGTGCTGCTTGGCCCTCACGTTCGCAGCAGCGCGACGAGCCCGCTGGACGAGAGAACATACTTGGCGCAGCGAGACGCCTTCATTGCGGTGGACCCACGCGAGCAGCCGGAGGCGGTGTGCAGCCTGGTCTGGTGGCGTACGCGGATGCTGCTTGAGTGCCTTTGCGCCCTGCGTGACATGTTTGCTGCAGGGGTCGCGTGTGGGCTGCTGCAGGACACGACCGCCTTCGTTGCCGCGATGCGGGAGCTCGGCCGGGTGCTGCAGATGGTCTGCTGGATTGACCTCGACGCCGCGCGGGCCACGCCGCCCGGGGCGCGTCACTCAGAGACCCCCGCAGCCGCGGCCGAGGTTTTCCCCTTCCCCGTCCTCGCAGCAACCGAGCGACGCTTCTTTGTTGGCGCGATGCTCGTGTTCGGCATGGGCGCCGCCGCGGATGCGCTCTTGTCCTTCCACGCGTGGGTTGACCGCCGTGAGGCGGCGGCTGGCGACACGGAGAGCGGCGACGCCAGCGGCGGCCAGGAAAAGTGTGCCGCGGCCTCGTCTGACGGCGGCGCGGCAAACGCGCGACGATTGTGGGTGGATGACTTTTCGCTGAGTCTTCTGTTGCCGTCCGTCGTCCGGGTGCTGCAGTCGCTCGCGTTCTGCGTCCCGGCGGAGTCGATGCTGCCGGCGATACTTCGACTGAGCCACGCTGTTGAGTTTACAAGCATTTCACATGTGGCGTGGGCCGGCGATCAGGCGCCGCGGGATAATTTCTCCACGTGCGGGGACGGCCGTCAAGACGCAACGGGCGCGGCTGCAGGGACAACCGCCGCCTCTTCTGCGTGCACGGCGACGCCCTTCGCGGCGTGCCTCCGCGTCGCTGGGGAGGTCATGGCGCTGGCAAGCAGCGTCCAGCGGGTGCTGCTGTCACGCGGCCTCCGCGTCCTCGCCCCCGCGCCGGCCCACGACGAGGCGCTGGCGCGATGGATGATGGCGCCGTTCGCGAATAACCCACTGCCGCAACCGGGCGACGCCGCCCCCCGCTGCCAGGTCCTGCTGCACATTGCGGAAGGCTTCGTGCTGCGCGTGCCGTGGGCCGGGTGGGCGGCGGCGCCCGCCTGCGTTGGAGCCCCACAGAGTCATGCGGTCGCCTCGCCCGCGCCGCCGCCCCTCTTCGCGGCAGCGTACGTGATAGCGACGGCCGCTGCGCTGCTTCGCCTTGCATCTTTTGCCGAGACGCGGCCCTGGGGACCGCAGCGGCTTCGCGGCGCAGTGCCGCTAGAGCGGGTACGTGGCGTGCTCTTTGGCGCGGTGGCTTGTGTGTTTCGCGGCGTGGAGGATGCGGCGTTTCGACGCGCCTGCATGCGTGAGGAACTGCGCCTCCGCCAACGACAGGGCCCGCGGCCGCAGGACGCCGGGAAAGGCGACGGCGTACTCTCGGCGCTTTACTACGCGTGGGACGGCGTGGTGGCGTCGCTGTCGCTTCGCACGCCACACGAGAGCGATGCGGCGCGGGCGCGGAGGGAGGATTGGGCGGCGATTGACGCCTACGTTGACCGCCAGCACGGCCTGCTCTGCGACGACGCCGTGGGCATCGCCACCGCCCTCTACGCGGTGGCGCGGTGCCCCTCCGCCACGGCCACGACAGGCGGCGCGTCCACGCTGCACGCCTCCCTGCAGCGGCTCGCCCAGCACTCGCTGGAGTCCCTCCTGCCCGACGCCGACGTGCCCGCGGCGTTTCGTCTCGCGCCTCTCGCGACTTGCCGCGCGAGTGTCGTGGCAGTGCCTCCAGCCTCGGACTGGACGCCGACCGGGCTTGCAGAGTTCCCTGGCGCCACCTCCGCGCTGCTGCGACAGCTGGTCGTGTCCCTGCTGCCAACGGGGCAGCAGCGCGATGCCACGGGGCCCCGTGGCTGGGAGGGGCCGTCCATCGAAGGGCTGCTGCTCCGGCAGGCCTCTGCACTCGTGCGCGTCATGGCGGTCGTTGCCGCCTTAACGGAGCGCACGACAAACGGGGAAGGCACGGCGGCGGAGGCGGCACCGAAGTTTGTGCTACATCCCGCGGCCCTGTCCTTCCGGCAGTGGCGCAAGTTGTGCTTTGCCCTGCATGCCATGCGCCGGGCGGAGGGCGGTGACGTCGCCCTCGCCTCACCCACCGCGGCATGCCGCTTCCAGCATCCGCAGAGCTGCACGGAGAATGCGCAGGAGGTGGCGCCTGGTGTGCAGCTCCTGCAGCGGGGGCAGGAGAGCGGCGAGGGGGCGGCGCATCGCTGCCTCGCGTGCTGCCCAAGCGTGGAGTGTGAAGAATACCTCAGGTCCTACGTGGAGGCGGGCCTGGCGCTAGTGAACCGCTCGCGCATGGACGTCCTGATTTGCCGCGCCACCACGGCGGAGGAGCGTCGTGGGTTGTTTGCGGTGGCGTTGGTGCTGCGACGCGCCGTCGCCGTATTTTTTGCGGCGAGTGAGCCCCCCGGGACCGACGCCAATGCCAACGAGCGAAGTGGCACGAGGCCCCGCTGCGGTGAGCCCTGCGAGGCGCATGCTGCACGCAGGCGGCACCCACCGCTGCCACGACGGCAGTCACGCCGGGAAGCAGAGCGGGCTGTACTGCTGCGCATCGCCGCCTTCGCATTTGGCGTCCGTCCGCTGCGGTGTGCGGAGGAGTTACTGGACTGAGGGCGCCTGCCAGGAACAGGGCAAATGAGCCTCTCCTCAACCCTGTTCCTCGCCAGTGGGCACGCTGAGTTCTTTTTTTTAAATTTCAGATGTTTTCCCTTCTTGCCGCCCCTTCCATTTTACTTTATTTCTCGTATGTGATGCGCATATATATGTATGTATGTATATCTCTGGGGGGGGGGGGGAGTGCCGCAGCTCACCAGGAGGGACAGAGCTGGCGGAAGCATGAGACGCGTCCTCGCTGCGTGCCGCAGGTTCGTCTGCCTGCTGGTGCCGGCCGCCCCGGCCGCTGCGAGGTGGCGGGGCCTGGCGTGAGTGTGGGCCCAAGCGGAACTCCGCAGGGGCGCGCGCGAGGAAGGGTCTGTATGCGTGCTCGTTCAAGCCACAAGGGGCCGGGCTTGCGAGGCACGAGCAGGGGATTTTTGCCAGCTGCGTGTGTGTTTTTCTTATTTACTCTCTCTTTTTTTTTTTTTCGTCTCTGCCCCGTGCGCGGAGTTTGTTTGCGGGCCGCAGGTGCCCACCCCCCACCTCCGCACACCGTACGGGAGGGGGGGGAACGTGTTGCTCGGCGCGAGAGACTCGGCCTCGGGTGGGTTCATTTCGCCCTCCCACACACGCACGCAGGGCGTTTTTGTGGGTCGCGTCGCACGGCCGCGTGACGGCGGCGTCCATGGCGCGCAGCGACAACGCCGCGGCGTGGGATATTTTGTGCGCCCTCGCCCTCGACGACGCGCCCGCTGACGCGCAACCCGCCCGGGGCAGTCAGCGGCGCCGCCCCAGCCCGCCACGTGCGGCGGGGTCCCGCGGGAACGGCTCGGGCGGTGCCTCTCCTCGACGCGGGACGGACGCCGCCGGCCTGCTGCTGGAGGCGGAGGCGCTGCTGCTGCGGCCGCGCCAGCGTCACCCGCCCGCCGCGGCGGAAGCGCAGGGCTCTCAGTGGCAGCCGCAAGCCGCGCCTCCCGCAACCGTGGCAGCGGTGCGAGGCACAGGCCCCCCCTCCTGCGCCGCCTCGCAGGAAAGTCGCTCAGGCAGGGCCGTGGCGGACGGGCACGCGGAAGACGCCGGGCGCGTAGGGGGCCGCGCGAGGGAAGCGGCGCCGCGGGCGGTATTTACGGCGCCGGTGGCTGCGACGACAACGGTCTACCGCGACACCGCGGCTGGACACGAGGCTGCGGTCGCCCCCGCCGCTTTGCATCCGCCGCCGCGGAGCGTGACGCACGACGCGGAGCGTGACGCACTGCTCGCCTTGAAGGAGGCACGTCGTTTGCGGCGCACACAACCCACGCCGCAGGCAGGGCACCGTGACGCCACCGCCGCGCCGCATGCCGTGCGGTGTTCGCTGCAGCAGCGACTGGACCTTCTCCGCTCCGCCCACCGCGACACCGCCGCGGCGTTGGCAGGGGCATCACGGCTGCTGCTGCAGGAACGCAAATGGATCAACGTGCGGTGCACAATCCTCTACGAGCGACTGCAGCTGCTTGCACAGCACCGCACAACGGTGGTGCGCCAGCTGCGGTCCGCCCACGGCGACGCCGTGACGGCACTTCTCACTGACCACCGCCGTGACGCCTAGAAGAAAAAAAAACCAAAAAATTGCCGTATATATACATATATATGTATGACGCTATCGATGCTCTTTCTACTCCTTTCTCCCGAAATCCCCACCACATTCACTGCTTGTCTACACAACCACGAAAACCATGCTCGGCACGGTCGCCGTGGTTACTGGGTCACATATTACATTCACCGCCGGTACACTCCTCACATTGGCACCCCCGCGCACTGCGTCCTCTTCCCGCTCTGCCTCCATCTCTTTCCCTCGCGCCCGTCCCCCCCCCCCCGCGGCAGTCGTGATACTTTTCTTTGCAAGCCAGCAGCTCACAAGCCAGCATGCCCGTCGCATTCCCCACCGCCGCGTCGCTGACCCTGTACAAGGACTTCCACAAGGATGTGAATGATATGCTGACGAAGAGCTACAGCGAGTCGGAGAAGTGGAAGGTGGAGAGCAAATTCAAGGGCCCAAAGGACACGCTCTTCGTGAACCCCACGGCGACGTCTGACGGCAAGTTCAGCGTGGACGTGGAGTACGCCCCCAGCCAGTGCGGCGCCGCGGTGAAGGCGACGCTGCAGCCCTATGTCCGCAGTGCGGGGCTGACGGTGTCGTACCGCTACCGCGGCCACAAGGTGGAGGCGGTGGTGAGGAAGTGCTGCGACTAC